GCCTTTCTGATCAGTCCTAAGTGATTAACTTCATGGCCATAGTATAGTCAGTGGCTGCTAGAATACCACTTACTATTTAACTCTGCTTTTTGAGTCTGAAGGGCATGTTTTCTTACTCTTCTGCCTGTAGCATATTAGATCTGCAGAGCCTGCAGCTTTCTATCAAACGTTGGCCAGGACTACAATATAAGATAAATGGCTCCTCAACCTCATCAGCCAACTTGGCTGTTGCTCTCTGATCACAGAATCTTTTGCAGGGTCTAGTGATAGAAGAGCAGATATACAGGACTGCTGCTTTTCCAGATGTCTGGATGTTTCTGCAAAATACCCTAAACCCCATGAATGTCTGTACCTACAGATATGCGTACGTGCTATTGAAAGCAAAAGTCTGTACATCAGATTACAGTCAGATTGCTTTCTACAACCTGCTGTTAGTGCCCCTTGCCTCCTATGGTTTTGGCTAGATATATTGGTTTCTGTCTGTCTTGACAGAGGGGAGTATTCACAAAAAAGCTACCGTCATTTTTGAGAGGCATGTGGAATATAAGTGCACAGAGGAGTTGCCATGGGCCTATGGAAGGTGTAACATTACAGTATGTCATCTTTTTAATAGTTATGTGTGTGTACACGCTTGTACCCTCGGGCAATCAGAGTGCTCAGTGAAAGAAATGAAGTTCACTTGCATTCACCATGGGGTAGTGCTGGTGAGGCATGCACATCTGTGCTCGTGCTCTGCTTTGCCCAATGTTTGCTTAATACCCTTTTGCACGGTCAGGACTTGAGTGCTTGGTGATATTAAAAAAAGACATGGAAATGTTTTGATTCACCCAGGATTCCCAAAATGAACTTTGGGTTCATTCTGAATGATTCATAGAATTGCTAAGGTTCAGATCCCTAATGGAAAAATAAATCACTCGCAAACCCTAGTTGGGAACAAACTGCCTGAGCTGATGATTGGCAATAACTCTTTTTTAAACTTATGTCTTATCTAATGCTTGGTCCTTGCTTTGTTTTATGGAAATAGTAGGACAACCGAAAGTTGGAAATTTCATCACATCTGAGCATTTGAGCAGACATTAGTGGATTTATTTACTTAGTTAAAGAGTCTGGTTTTGTGGAAGACAGAAAGTATAGTCAATCTTCTGTAAAGTCTTGTAACAGATTGTGAGTTGCAAAATGCAGCAAGCTGTATTCTCCAAGGCTAAATAAAATGGTTGCCTGCTAGTCCTTCTACCCCTCTGTAATCTAATCCTGGTTTTAATGAATATACCCTTAATACACCGGGAGCTAAAAGAAAACCTGGGGAAACAATCTTTCTCTGCCTTTTTTTGTGTGTTGGCAAAATGCAGCCTTTTTTTTTTCCCCACAGCGAAAGGAGTTATTTAGCACTTTTATTTGTTACAGCATCACAGACACAGGGTGAGGGGTAGGGGGGAGTTAGATATCAAGAGTCTGACACCAAAGCAGATAAGAGGGCAGGCAGATATTCAGAAATTCCAGGCTGGTAGTAACTTCACTGTATGGTGCTCAGCAGCCTTCCATAGAGACGGATGAAATGATTAAATAGAAACTGTCAAACCCTCAGGACACTTTTCAGGCATTAGATGGAAAAGGAATAGGAGAAAGAAAAGAAGAGATAAGGGGGAGGAGCACACCCTGAGACAGCATGTTGTAGACAAAGTTTAAAATAATCTCCAGTAGTAGCTCAGATTGAAGGATATGAGGTTGCTCTAGTCCTGCTACTCTGTCCAGTCCACTTTATAACAGCTAGGGGCTAGTCAGACACGCCGCTTCTACTTTTCCCATTGTCAAACCATTGCTTTTCCTGGCATCGGTACCCCGCTATGTTTATTATAGCAGGGACAGGAGAGGCAGCCTGGTCGAAAACTTTCCCAGCTGCTTTGCAGGCCTGAATTCTGCTTCCGACTAAGTCACTGCCTGGATGTATAAGTTTGTGCAAGCTGCTTTATGCCTGTGTCTCTGTTTCCTAAAGTATCAAACAGAAATAATGAAACTAAGCTCCTCGGATCTAAACGTTAGCATTTCTTGTTTGTGTCTTACTCTCTGCTTTATCGCTGCAGGATAGAGATTGCAAATTTTATTGATATGAGATAAAAAGTGCCTAGAGCCTTAAATCCTACATGTATGGCTTTCTGCCTTAGAACAGATG